CCGCCCTCCTGTACAGTTTACTTGTCTTCCCATTTTATGTTTAAAGCCGTCATTCTCCTAGAGAAATTCATGTCATGACCCCCCTCGTGCTGGGTTTATGTCGACTAACGTCGTAATTATGACAGATTTGCTGTTGACATTCATTAGGTGTCACTTTGACACTGAAACGATTTTGACGGCTACCGAAATATGTCACAATTAATGGTGCGGTCGCAATAAATCGCTGAGCAGAATTGTGGTGAAATTGTTCGTAACGATGAAAGTGCCTTCGAAAAAATCTCGATTTACTTCTCCTTTGTGCGTGTCGTGCCAATAACAGTAATTAGTTGCGAGTCTATCATTACGTCGCCGTGTAGCCGGTAAACACTGACAACGCTAGGTCAATGTCAGCTGGACGGCCTTTTATAAAAATAAACAAGAAAAAAAAATGTTTTAGTTGACACTGGCTATTTTCGATAGGCAAAATGAAATGAAAAAGGTTGAAAAGGCGAGGTGAAAAAAATTAGACACAAGAACAAACCGTGGGGGGATTTAGCGACTAATTTCAGCTATTTCCTGTGGGAATCTATAAATAGACCTTTTTTATTAGTCTATTTTGTATGATTAATCTTTTTCGTCTAATATCTTCTTTATTACTGCCAGATATTCTACAGGGTTTCGTTTGCTAATTTTTGCTATTGCTGCTAATAAAAGACAGAAATGGGCAGTTGTCATATTCTAGAAAGGCAATTAAATCTTTGAATTTTAAAATTGAAAAAATGGAACCATTTGTTACTCGAGCAGACCCCAAGTAACGCATCCCGAGTCGAAAACGATATGTAATTAGTAACGCATACTCCAAAATAATTAAAAATCCACTGAGATTTTCAGTCTAAATTTAAATTTAGATATCTTTTTCTAAGGAATCGTGATCGCGAGTCAGTTTTACCCTCGCTAGACTAAATAAGTAAGGGTGGTTGAAATAGGGAAAATGGGGCCGATGTCCTGTCACTCACTCGTCGATAAGGACTCCCGAGTAATCTTAACATGCACAACTGGCCTGAAGACGTTTAGAAAAGCACGTAGGCCTAGTGAATGTTTTTAGTTGGGAGCGAGGCAGATGACATGGATGGAGGTTTGACAATGCAGTCAGTATTCAGAGAAAACGTTCTAGATTTTTCCGAGGGAAATTGGATTCTCGTGTTTTCACAGGGTTATCCATTAGCTCAAGAATACAATTTTTTTTACAATGTTCCCCGTCGTCACATTGTTTGTTTGGAAATAACTAGTATTTATTGTATAAATGAGAGTTTTCAATTTGCATTTTTAGCAATGAAACATTTCGTTTCCCAAGGAAATACATATTTCCATTAATACCTACAGTTGGAAGCAAGTCGATCTAGTCTAGTGCTTTACACTTTCGGCTCCGTCTATGCACTTACGCTATACGTACGACATTTATTGTTTTAAATTCTTGACATCATCCAACCTGCTAGAGATGCATTTTTAGTAATTTTTTTGCCCAAAAACTGCAATTAGGAGTGTGTGAAAAGTTTTCTGGATGCAGTCAAGTCCGGATATTGTGAACTTCAAAAATGGCCACAAAGTAGTTCACTATATCCAAAAATACGATCAGTTTTTTATTCAATTATGGCTTAAGAACACATTAGGAAAAAACATACTAATTAATGTTTTATGTACACCCGTACATACTTGCTTAGATATAGACTACTTAAGGTGGTCGAATATTTTAGTCTGTACATGAAAAAGCTAATATTATTATACGTTTCAAAGTAAAAAAACCATTCCAAACTTTTTCTTGGAACCTGGCGTGATGGGAAAAAGTGCAAGTATCGTTGTACTGTTTTTGATTGACCGGAACATCCTGATCAAAGTGTTTTTTCGAAATTCCACTGAAAAAGTCCCTTATTGAGCTTTTCGTTAGCCAATTTTAGAATTGTATTGCAATTGACATTAATGTTATTGTGCAATGATCAAATTTATTTTCTCCTTTTCCTTGTTTAGCCCCATTTTGTACTTTTTAAATTATATCATACTCGTCCTTATCTGTTTTAGCACTGATTCGTATGTTTTATTTTGCAATTTGCCATTTTTTTGCTCCTTAACTAAAGGTTTTATGGCCCTACTCCCGTACTCCCAACTGTAGTTTTTTTAGAGTAAAATGAAGGCAATTTCTTTTGCTTATAGGGCGCGAACATTTTTCGTCCATATGGTTTGGTTGTTCCCCAGCACGAGTGATTCATAGGAATCTGGGTGCATACAAGTCAGTCTAGCTGCCCATTCATGGAATGCATCAGACTACATAAACATGATTGTCGCTGTTGTTGCATTTAAAGGTTGTTTGATGCTTTGGTTATTCTACAGCCAGGCTGAATGATGCATCAATGCGAATTAGCTCAATACTTCCAGCGCAAAAGATGATGAATATTCACGACCTTTTGTTGCACTAATACAAACCCACTTATCTATGTATACAAAATTAGTGGTAATTAATTGATGTTTATTGTTGCTAGTATCAATAAACACCAATTGCTTCCGATGCCTTGATAAATACTATTTTACTGATGCAATCTCGCCTTTTCTTACCGAATGGGGTTTTGTTCTACACTTTTTCGATTTTTCGTTTGTTTTTTTAAGCAAATATTTTAGTAATTAATTTGTTTTTCATATTCAGTCTATGCTAGTGAGGTGTTGCTTGTTGTTACTGCAGTTTCACAATATTGTGGCTTATTTAACGAAGCATTGCGATATTGTAGCACGATTTACATTAATAGCACTCCTTGTTACTGTGTAAAATGCAAGAGAGGAGATGGTTAAAGGGCATGCATCTGGTTGAGCGAAAAAGGCAATAATTACTAATCTCAAGCCGCAATGCGAACTAGTTTCGCAATGAACCAAACATTGATTCGTCTATTGCTTAAATAAAAGGAGTTTATTTCAAAGTCCAAAAGCATGTTTTTAGTTAGTAGCTTTGGGCGCTTGAGTCTAATGGATTATCTGAAGTGTCTGCAAAGGGTCACTTTCGTTTTGCCCAAATCGATTGAATAAATGCGGATTTGGTTTTTATCGTCTTTTTAAACACAAAAGTATCCCTGTGGATTTTTTTCACCTTTTTTGGTTTGGGAATTTCCGAAGTCCTTTGTATTAATAAGGTTGTGCTTATAGGAGTAAAAAATATTAGAAGCATTTCAAAAGAAACAAACATTTTTCGTGTGGAAATTTTTCTTCATGTTTTACGCTTCTAAATTTCCAAGAATAATGCTTCAATAAATGTCATGAATTTGTCGGAGTTTTTATATAAATTAGAATGATCCGTTGAATGCGAGTGTTTCGGGAATACGGAAAAAATGAATTTTGTGAAAAGCTAAAATATTTGCCAAATAAATTTGAATAGGCAACAATGTTTTCGATTCGCACCTGCAAAGGACGTCTTCCTCATTAACATTACGTAAATACCTGTTGCTTCATGCATGAATCAACAAAGGTAACAGGTGAAGCTAATGGTCATATTTCGAAGAAAAAGAATGAGTGCAAATAATTTGATCAATGGAACTGCAAGAACTAGATGTTTTCAAATTTCGTTTTTATTTCAATTTAAAGTGCAAATATAGAACATAATCCTGTTTCTATACCGGTGAAAAATATGTAATTTTTTGATCTGCATTTAAATTGGCCGGTCTGCTTGATTCTGGATAAGTATCGATATGAATACGCTATTTAAACTCCATTTCAGTGCTGCCTGAATCGAAAAATAGTTTCATTTTATTTGTGTTTTGCCCAGTTGTGCGGCATTAATTAGCTATGAAATCACAATAGAAGAAAAACGTGTTTGAATTCTCACAAGAGAATTTCAAACTTTTTGTATTCTAACAAACGGTTTGAGTGAAAAATATTCAATTTAACTGACTGCGATTGTTTCTCAGTCATTAATTTTTTCCTGACTGAATATAACATATTTCTGCACCAACTTTCAGTCTTAACGTTAGCAAAAACGTCCAAATAACCTCGCAAATTGGGCAAAATTATTGTTTTTCGTTAAACATTAGTCAAGAGTTTTAACCTTTGGTACTACGATGGTAAACACTATATCTGCGCACTTTTAAAATCAATTCGTAAAAAATCAACGTCGATAATATCGGGGATTTATGACATGCTAAACGATATAGTCGATTTCACTATGGATTATTAGGCAATTAAAGCGAACAAAACGACAATGACCCAAATATTGTTCCAAAACAAACAGAACTATTGTAGATGGTTCCAGCAGGTATTTGAGGTAAACGGTAAAAATAAACGTACTCAGGTGACGATAGATTTCTACTCAAGGTAATAAAGTTTCGAAATCCTCCGTGGATTTGTCACGTATCATTAGAATTAAAAATAGTCGCAATATGCAATTTGCCCGCTTTGATTTCCCCCTTTTTTGACCAGTACTGAAGTCATTTGTTTCACAATTGGCACTGCGTTAATTCCTTCCAAAATGAACGAAACTGCATGTTTTACATTAGCGTCAAATATATTTAGTCATCATTTAGTCGTTTGTCCGGCTTGAATGAAAGTTCCGTTTCATTGTACTCTTTCTACAGGATCGTTAGTTAACTGCTTGAGGTGTTTTATCGATTATCTATCACCCAATTTTTCATAGACCGCAATAGATCCCAAAGAGAAACCCATTGTTCAATTCGTCGTAACAAGGCCTTGTTGCAATGGAAAGTTGCCATGAAGCGGGCAAAAATGCATTATGGGATATTGTATGCATATGCAATTAAAGGCAAATAGTGTGGGCTAGGTGCACTTTCTTCAATGTTCACTTCTATGTACCCAGGGAATTATCGCCTTTCATTCAGGTGTGCTAGAGTGCAGTCTAACGAGGTGCACTACCATATCGTGCTTTCTTTTATTCCGGTTCTCTCCATATCAAACTAATAGCATCGCGGGCAACTTGATGTATTATGTATTTATCGTCTGTTTAACATGTTTTTTTTTGGTTTGTCAAACAGGTTGAGCAGCGTGACGTGCCTGGCATCGACTGCGCCTTCCTGGCAATGGACATGGAAGAGGGCGTGGAGGTAGTATGGAACGAGGTCCAGTTCTCCGAGCGAAAGAACTTCAAGAACCAGGAGGAGAAGATCCAGATGGTGTTTGAGAACCTCACGCAGCTGGATCATCCCAATATCGTTAAATTCCATCGGTACTGGACCGACACCCATAATGACAAACCTAGGGTAAGTGGAGTCATTGAGCCTCTAATAATTTCTCGTCGGCCCAAGATTTAGCCAATTTATAATTTGACTAAGAGCTCAAAATACTTTACCAAGTACACATGTTCGGAAAGAAATGTACACATGTTACTTGAGAAGAAAGTTGACAAAAATGTGTTTGTCAAGCAGGAAATGTGGAGAAATTATCCTAATTACCAACTATGAAATATATGGAAAAGAGAAAATAACCGTACGATACGTTTATACGCTGCTGATGATTAATAGAAAGATAAATTTGCATTTCAATACTTTTCTCTAGTACAGGGAAAAGAACGAAAACAGTGATAGTCTTCGATATTGAATCACTGATGTTCCAGTCAATTAAACAACTTTTTTCCGAGTCTTACTCTGCTCTAAACTAAAGCACCCGAAAAAATTTGGCAGCAATGGCGTTAAAAATAACTTTGCAGTGCAGAAATCTATTGGTCTTAGTTCAGCTAAATTTTCCGAACATTCGCCTTTTCGTCAAGATCAAATTGATTTGGCGCTACATCAATTTATTTTCTTCCGCCATATCGTCTTTATTTTCGCGTTTTTACTGTCCTTTCGTAAGTCTGAACACCTACAGAAGGTAATGAGATTAACGAATTTGCCGTTAATCAATTAAAACAAATTAAATAAAATTTAATTTGTTTCGTGGTATATTTATGTGCGATTAGCAGCGTTTTTCCTTAATTTCGTTGCTCATCTGATTCTGTGAAGTTTTAATATTAGTGTTGTGCATAGTTGATTATGAATAATGCGCATAATTAATAATTGTTTCTTTCAAGCGAACGGTAAAATGTGTTGATAATATCTTAAATGATTAATAATGAGTCATGCACAAAATTTATCGTATTTAAAAAGTGTCCCAGACGAGATGCTTAAATGCGGAGGGAAAAAATTATCAATTGAAATATTGGCCTTATTTGAAAAGTTCATAGAAGAACAGAAAATACCAAGCGAATGGAAGAACAATATAATAATACCCATTTTCAGAAGAGACAGAAAGCACTCTCAGAAAGCTATCGTGGTAGCGCTCTTACCCTACTTGATAGCGCTCTCAAAGCATTCGCAAAGGCTATTTTGGGGAAAATCACCAAAACGATACGAATAAGGGAAGAACAACAAAGCTTGCTAACAAACAGATCCAAATAGATGCAATATTCATAGTCAAGCAAATATCTGAAAAATACCTAGAATTCATTAAACCCGCATACCATGTGTTTCATCAATATGACTAAAGCTTTCGTCAGAGTGCGCTAAAAAAATACCCTGGAAATAATGAGAACAAAAGGGCTAATGATGGCAGACTGCTTAATGGAATACAAGACATAAATTGTCCATGCAGAACAAAAAGCAGAGTAGGACACATTGCTACGGAAGATATACACTTAAACATGGGAATTAGATAGGAAGACTCACTCCCTGATGAACTGAATATGCTCATCAATACCGAGAAGACTAAATGTTTCGTAATATCAAGGGAACCGATAAGATGGAAGTTGGAAATCGAAAGAACGATCATCGCACAAGTAAACCATTACAAATATTTGGGAGCAGATAAATAAGCCATGGAAATCTACCTCTCGAAGTAAGAGAGCAAACAATGAAAGCGGCTCGAATTTCGGGATGTTTGAGAGACATTATTTGGCTTAATGGCTAATGGAAATATTATAGACGGCAGTAAAACCTATAATAGCATATGCAAAAGAAACAAGACCAGATACAAGCAGAACTCTGCAAGTGATGAGAACAGTTGAAATGAAGACTTTAAGGAGTAAACAAGGCGAAACTCTATACGATAGAGCACGAAGTGAGAACATCAGAATACAATGCGGGATTCAGAACATTCTGGAACAAATATGTAGGAACGAACGGACGACTCGTCGAAAACGCAAAAATGAGCAATCCAGTGGGCCAAGGAGACCAGAAAATACTGGAGGACGTGTTGGAAATGAACAGGCAATAGGCTACTAATATGTATCCATATTAGAAACAAAGAAGAAAAGTGTCTTGAATTAGATTTTTCATTGAATATGACACAGGGACGCTATCAAATTTTTCTATTTCTTCCGAAAACGATTTTTAGAAAATCCTTAATCGATTGAACGAGAACTTTTAAAGAGCCCAATGAAATTAAATAGAGAAATTGTGATGCTTACAGACAGAAACTTTTTGTTGCTGTTTTGCATCCTAATTTCGRTACAATAACTTTTTTTAAACTTAAATAAAAAAATTAAGACAGTTTAAGAGTTATTGTGTTGTCAAGTAATGAAAATCAGTACTAAAAGATGTCAAGACGTTGATCTTAAGACCAATAAGATCCTCTATTTTACTTCATTTTATATAAAATTAATGCACAATGWTTCTTTCGGGGACATTTAATKTTTGGTCAAAAACCAACAAGWAATRTTTTATTGCTTAGACCGCGAAAAATACGTTATGTAGCATCTTTTTTTTTCTAAAAATTATTGTTTTTTTTAATTTTTAAGTTTAATTTTGAATAAACCTTGATATGTTATATCGTTGGAATGGACATTTAATTTTTTTTCTGGATTTTATTTGTTTTTTTTTATTGCAATTGAGCTTGTTAATTATCAAATGCTTAAGAATTTTCATCTGATCAAGGAACGTTAAATTAGTGATTCCCCTAATTCGATTTTCTACAGATTAAATTGMATTTCAAGCACGCATTCGAAAACYGAAGGKAAAATAATTTAATTCATCAAAGTAATCAATCTAATCAGCATGTTAGCTTCGCTTCGGCGACGACACCAGCAAAATACTACAATATCAGATCCGATGCCCAATACGATGCGAATGCTCAAATTAATCAACGTTACGAGTTCTTGTACGGTGAATATGTAGTTGCTTTTTCATCATCTGGGTTTTCCGCCCAAGTTTTTCTTCCTGGGATCGTTCTGTTCTCCTGATCACCGTCTGTCCATCGGGACGCCTTAAATTCCGGAACGTTTGGTGTGTGGACTGCTCCGAACAAACAAGGTGACGACGACGACGACGACGTGATACTACTGGTATTAGTCAGAAACCGTCGAGCTTTTATGCGGTCCTGATAAGTGAGACTTAAGTTACGTATGTAAAACGTGCTTTTAAGCTCTACTTAGTTAAGCTCGGCTTAACTAGTTTTTGGCGCCGAGGAGAATGAAATGGGAAGGTGAATGCCGCCCACTAATCCATCCGTCCAGCTCTGTCCTCCTGTTGCTTCAGTCGACTAAATTCGAACGATCGAGTTCGGGAATTCGCTGAACCGACGACTGTCGTCGTTGTCGTCCTCTAATCTGCCGATATGCGAACAACAATCGAAAATGGAAGGGAACAAACAACACCGCACGGAAACATGGCTTGGTGATATGGAGCGGACGGGACAGACTTTCCCTGGTAATTTGCTGGCCGCCTGGTACGGCAGACGTTTTCGTTGAATTTCATATGATCGACACGTTACGGCGTGAACAAAATGAAACAAACGATCCCACCCAACTACCAACCACCCGGACGGAGCCCGAGGAGATTAAATAGACTGTAGTCTACTGCACTTTCTGCTCTCCTTATACCTGAATTCGCGTTTGTTCGGGTTTAAGTAACTTTGCTCGATCCCCACTCAAGGCTCGTCGGTCCTGTTTGTTGTCTTGCATACGGGGCTGGCTTCTGGCGCAACAGATTTGTCATATACCTGAAAATATTTTTCTGGTTCTCTGACAAAAAGTTGCAATCCTCAAGACGACGTGCAACTGATCAGGTAAGGCCTTCGACCTGCCGTCGCGCTACCTGCAGGCGTCGCTGCGCTCCTGCTACGAATTCACAAAGTTACGAGGTTTTTCCCGAACTTGGTCGACGCCCCGACCGGCACGGGATCCGCTGCTATTTCCTTCATGCAAAATTATTGCCCAAATTCACTCTTCGTCTCTGTCTGGCCTACCGGCAATTTGCAATTTTCCTCTTGCTTACACGAGATGAGAGTTATCGGAGCTCTCCGCTATCGGCATTGGATGGAAAGCCTCATGCAGCAGTGTTGCCAATCGTCATTGGGTTGAATAACGCAGGGGCGGGCAGTGGAATGGTTTCAGAATGTATCTCAAAGCGCTTCTGTGCGCCTGATATGAAAAAGTTAAGTTATGATGTTGAGCGGGAATAGCCGCGACTGGCCTACATGAAGAAGGATTGGATAGATAGTTGGGATGGCATCGATCGAAGAAGCCCCGATATGAGGCAAACAACTTGGCGGCTTACTTTTCCGTAGGTGGTCGTTGTGTCTTATGCGCTCCTGATTCGATTGGCGGAATTACGCGGTTTTGCGGTGCGGCAGCTGGCAGCAAACAAACACAATGTGCGGCGGGCGGCGGGAACTCACTCTCTAAAAATGGTTGCTTGCTTCCGTATAGAGCAGAATCGTACAGAATCATTAATTAGCTAATATGTAACTTACTAAATTAAATGGCCTAAATGTCGTTGCATATTGGTATAGATAGTAATTCCGGCCGCCCTCTTCGTTCACTTGCTAGGGTCCGGAGGAGTTTGATATTTTCGGCGTGTCATTATGCACATTTTAACGTTTTCGGCCATTAATTGATTGTGGCTTTTCGGTTTAGACCTGGGTAACACAGTGGATTTTCAAGGATTGACGCACTAACACACCAATGCGACTTGCAGCGCTAATCCAACGTGTCAACGGTTTTTATGATGCAGCAACTCATAATACGATAAAAAATGTGTTGGGAGATAACAGAGGACCTGGTGTCCTTTGTTGCATATAAATTCACTGCAAGAAAAATAAATCCCGAAAAAAATATTTTGCTATTAAATGGGGTCAAATTGGCGTCTAGCTGAAACGCCATGTGATTAGTCTGATGTTACAAGACACGCCCGGCCTGCACGTAGTTCGTGTAGTGTGTTCATTTAAACCGTACTTTAAACTTTGTGTTTTATTTTATTGTGTTGTTTTATTAGATTATTTTAGGCCTGGGTAACTCATTTTTAGAAGTTGGCGCACTGCTACGCAAATGGCTTGTTTCGCCAACCCAATGCACCGGCGCAGTAACTCAGATTAGTTGCTGGAAAAATGTTGATGACTTTTTTTACTTGCTTTTAAAGTTATTTTAAGGGCCATTTATCAATAATATTTTTAACATTTCTTCAGAATTTTTCAGTTTTAGCAAAGTTACTCTTTTTTCTAAATGCTCAATTTTCTAAAGATTCACTCAAAAATCTTAGGGTATTTTTCGCGAAAATGTATGAAAAATTTTATTAGAATACTCTCCTTCGTCCCATTGTAAAAAGTTTCGAAATCTTTTTCCAGCTTGGAATTTGGGACAAGAATTAAATAATTTTCTATCAAAAAACGAACAGAATCAACGAAAGTTTATAATAAATTATTTGGAAAACCCGTCACCTCTATTCCTCTGCAGCCTGTAGAGCTTGCTTAAAAAATGTGGTTTTGTAGTTTTGACTGATTTTTTTTACTTTACTTTTCACTCAAAAAACGCTCTGTTATGTAGAGTTTCACTTTAAAATACTGGCGATCTGGAGGTCTTTTACGCGAAAAATAACAAGATAAATCTATAGCTTTGTAGAAATTTTACAAAAACTTTTTTCAGCGTCGAATTCGGGTCAAAAACGAAAATAAATTCCTACCGTTTTTTCCCGAAAATCATTAAGATTTGCTCAACTGAACACAAAACTAAAAGTTTTTAACCAAAACGCTAAAAACATTATTTTCTGATGATTTTCTTCTTTTCTGACAATATTGGGATCTTTGCAGCCAAAAATGACAAAATTAATTTTGCTAGAAAGTTCGCCTCATTCATCGGTTTGTAAACTTTAGAAAACCATTTTCAGCTTCGAATTTGGCACAAAAACCAAATAATTTTATTCAGTTTTTTGCCGAAAGAAGTTAAGATGATCTTGAAAAAACGACCAAAGGGCAAGTTTTCACAAAAAATATTTGTAAAATTTGCCACCCCCATCGCTCTGGAGATTTTTCAAGTTTTTTTTAAATTTCAGCTCATTCCAGTTTTGGCAAAATTTCTATTAAGCAATTGTTTCTACGTAAAAAACTTATTATTTTTCGTTTTAACTAACCCAAAAATATTTCCCCGAATGGAACAAGTGAAAGTTTATAATCAATTATTTGGAAAACTCGTCACTTTTGTCGCTGTGAATAATATGGTTTATTTAAATCCCGGTTTCTTCACCTTTAGGTCAATATTTCTAAACAAAACTCTCTCTAAACAGAACAACGCGTTTTTTCCGAACGTTTTACTGTTAAATTTTGGCAAACAGAGTATTTTATGCAAAAAAGTTAAAAGATGGATTTTGCAAGAAAAGTCGTCGTCTTTACAGTTTGGTCTTCTTTATCGTCTTTTTCGAATACCCGTTTTACCTTTAAATTTGGGACAAAATCGAAACAAAGTTATCTTGTTTTTTTTTCGACGAAATTTAGGTTTCCTCCAAAAAGATCAGAGAAAGCAAAAGCGTATAATCAATATTTGGAAAACTCGTCACCCTCATCGCTCTGCAATTTTTTAAAGTTTCTTCAAATTTTCCGGATTTTCCCCGGTTTTAGACCAAATAGTTTCAAGCAATCGTATGCGCAAAACCCATATGTTGATTGCTTTTTCTTGTTAGATGCCATTCCGTCATCGGCCATGAGTTTTAACTCATTACTCATACCCGTTTTGCCTTTGAATTTGGGACAAAATTGATACAAAGTTATATTTTGTTTTTTTCGACAAAATTTAGGTTTTCTCAAAAAACGACCAGAGAATGCAGAAGCATATTATCAATATTTGGAAAACTCGTCACCCTCATCGCTCTGCAGTTTTTTAAAGTTTCTTCAAATTTTCCGGATTTTCTCGTTTTGGACCAAATAGTTTCAAGCAATCGTATGCCCAAAAGCAATATGTTGATGGCTTTTTTTGGTTAGATGTTAAAATTCCGTCACCGGCCATGGCTTATAACTCATTAACCAATGAGTTTTTTTAACCAAGAAATTTAAGTCTCATTCTGGTTTCTCAACTGGTTTTCAGAAATCACTTCCAAAAGAGCACGATATAAAGCGAAAAAACTATTAACCGTGTTTGGATACTACAGGACTTTGCTGAACTAAACCCAAGTTGCATCTAGTAGCATCTTTTTCCACGCATTTGTTTGTTGCCTGCTGCCAACTTTCTTCTGAAGTAACCGTTTTAAATGGAAACCAACGAAATTCAAAGACGACGAAAATTTTATTATTATATTTATATTATTAACACGAGCTACGGCTACAGAAAAGTTACCCAATGTTTGATATTGGAAATATTGTTGATTTTCCTCTTTTGGTAATAATAATAATGCAGTCAATAATACTGAACTCTGATTGAAAATATTTTTCAACACACGAAAATTCTGGACAACATGAAGTCCGACCAACAACAACAGAAATTTGTCTTTATCTTCTTGAGATTGTCAAGAAATATTATTTCAGGAAAAAGCAATCGAAATTCAATTATTAAGTCCACTATTACAGAAAGTTTGTGGGGAACTCAATTGTGTTTTAACCCTGAAGATTGCAATAATTTTTCCAAAACATGTAGTTTGATAAGCTCAGGAGGTTTTTTCTGAAGGCCACAGATCGATCTCCACTATTTGCCACCTGTCTATTTATTTATTTCTTGGCTCTGTTATCTTAAACAAGGGTACTTGACTAAGTCGTTGATTACGGCTCACACGCATGTTTAGGAACCAAATGCCGATATCGAATTTTTCAAATATGTTTATTTGATTTCAGGTAATCTTCATTACTGAGTACATGTCGTCCGGCTCCCTGAAACAGTTCCTCAAACGTACCAAACGCAACGTACGAAGGCTGCCCCTGCCAGCTTGGAGGAGATGGTGCACCCAAATACTCTCAGCATTAAGGTAATTGGACGGTCCCATCCCCCCAACACCACCAACACTAAATCGATTCTCTTCTCCCAAATGAACAGGTGTTTGATCTAATTGTAAGCTTGTACACTGTTTAGCTTTAAGACTATTGTTTAAATCCGGGTTTGTTACTATTAATAACGTCCGCCACAATAAGCTAGATCCTATTGTAAGTATTATCGCAGCGTTATTGTGGTCGGCTTGGTTGTCAGTGTTCACGCAGTGGTTTTTTCTTATCACCGCTCCTTACACAAGGTAAGTAAGGAAGTGGCGAGGAACTCGATCGATCTCGATCCAACCACCCCAAAACCTTGATAGTGTTTAGTAGTGTCTGGGCGAACCGAACATTTTTGGCCGAGAGCGGCTGATTGCGAGATCCAGATGGATATTCTATGGCCGTTGCTGCCAAGGGCCTCTAGAATACAGGTACTGATACAAATAATTGCATTGGTCAGCGCCCAGTGAATATCTGTCCCGAAACTACAATAGACGCACAATTTTTAACTTTTTCCTAAGAATATCCATTAGACTGTTAAAGTGCTAGAGGTTTGGTAAACTTCATGTGCTGCATGATGGTCGCTTTTGGTAAAGGAAGTACTTTTGGCCATCTGACAGTCTATCGAGCAAAAAACGAGCGTTCTGTTGGCAGCCAAGTCAAAGGTGGTTGGTTCGCCTTCTGGAGGCAAAATTAATTTTCAGCGATGATGTGTCGGCGCGGGCGAACAACTTTAAAGAGTCGTTCTATGAATCCAGTCTGTTTTCTTTACAGTTACTTGCATTCCTGTTCACCGCCCATCATCCACGGCAATCTGACCTGTGATACCATATTTATACAACACAACGGGCTCGTCAAGATCGGATCAGGTAATCACATATAAAAAAACCAACCTTAACCTCACCGAATCAAAATATCTATATATATGATTATATCTTGTTGCGAGAATTGTAATTTCATTTTTTTATTGTTTTGCTCATGGTTGATTCTATAGCCGTGTAGGAGGCGGACTGGGGGCGGCGGATTGTTGCGCGCAGTTCTGACCCTGGTGCAGTCAACCGATCTTTACCCTGAGCATTCAAATCAGAAACATTTCTAGACACTGAGGTGGTTCATGTTGAACGCCTGCTAGGGCGACTTCCCGTTGGCGGTTCAAGAACTAAATATTCACTGTGTTTTTGCGGACTGTACCTTGAAACGCCAAAATCGCTGTTGAGTGAAAAACGCGGCCCTGCAGGCAGATGCATACCAGGAGCTCTACAGGCTGAGCTACATTTAGTGCGCGTTATTCCACACATTGATAACTATTATGCACTGTGTTCAAGATCAGAAGGGCTAGCATGGGGATATCGGGACCCTTCTCATATTGAACACATTGTGAATGAGGCATTAAATGAGGCACACTTAATGAGAAGCTCCCTGTAAAGCAGCCAACCTCCCACAATGAATTTTAAGTAATCGAATCCTCTTGAAAAATGGAACTTTGTTCGGTGTTTAAATCCTTTGACTGCAACTTTCTCAGAACTGGGCATTGAGAGTTGGAGCTGTTAAATGGGCGCTGTTTTTGTGCCATGGTCGGGCGTGTCGCGTCTGGAAGAGCGGTTGGGCGCTTCCGGGCGCCAACCACGCTGGGCAATCGGCGGTTTTGTAAAGCGCCCGTTTCCGTCTCGAGCTTTAACCATTTTCCGCTTATTCGCAGTGGGCGTTTGTTGCCACAGCTCAGAAAAAAACCCTGCCCAAACGACTTTATGAGTGTTCAAATGCGGAGAATGGTTCGACGAGCCGCTCGTTCACGGTGGTCCCTTATCGGCCCCCTTATCCTGTCATCGCCTGGGTAGTACTAACTTTACTCTCTATTTCCTTTAGTGGCTCCCGACTCGATAAATCATCACGTGAAGACCTGCCATGACGACTTCAAAAATATGCATTTCATCGCTCCAGAACATCCTGGTGAGTTTCGAAGAACTGATTAATTGCGGGGATTTCGAGAGGAAGCCAGTTTTTTCAGTCAGAACTTTTGTTTTGAATGTTTGCTACGCACTTTAAAGGGAAAAAGCAGCAGCAGTTCATTAACTTCAGTCATTTACAGTATAACTTGGATACTTCAGGCACTAATTGTGGAGCATTCCGACATCTGTAATGCTCGCGAGAATGTGGTATAAGTTAGAAGGTCTAAGGTGTGCGAGTTTATTCTACATTTGAAACACTCGATTGGCGTTGATTGGAGAGGGAAATTGCTAAATAGTCCAAATAGGGTAACAGTCTCGGAATTCAAGATAACAAGTTGTAAACTCGTATAAACCTTTATTTTAACATCCTAAAAATTGTCTCAAAATATACTTTTAAGTGTCGGCGCGACTGTAGATAACTAAGGTCAAAGGTAAAGAAACGGCTTTTTACGCATTTTTTGCAAATTATTTCGTTTCGCAATTTTCGTTTAAATTTTACGGTATTTGAATTTATTTTCAATTTTGTTGCGGTTTAAATTATCTACAACTTTTGTTTCAAAAATATTTGTGTCTGTACCAATTGTTACTATCTTAAAATAAACTAGACGTTAACGTTAATCTACAACAATTTTTGTATTTAACATTTTTCTCTAATTTTCAAATTCGATGTTAATACGTGGTGGCCAAAGTTTAATCAATATTGAACATTTATATCGAATGGGCCTAGAATTTTACAAATAGCTCAAATATGCAATAAAAAGTACCACATTCCATTTAAAAAAGGTAAGTTTAGTGTGTCACTTGAATTTGAGACACCCTGTATCAATTGGTACTATCTTAAAATAAACTAGACGTTTATATTTACAACTTTTGTATTAAACATTTTCTTTAATTTTCAAATTAGAAGTTAAAACGGAGTGGCCAAAGTTCAATCAATAACCCCGAACATAGTTAAACACTGCGGGCTCTCCGCCCTCTACCTCAAAAGCCGATTAGCGTATAAAAAAAATTTTGAAGCAAAAAATGTATATAATTTAATCCGCTCTAATATTCATAATAAATTAAAATACCGTAAAATTTACAGGAAACGAAATATTTCCAAATAATGCGTAAAAAGACGTTTTTTTTACCTTTGATCTTAGTTATCTACAGTCGCGTCAACGCTAGCATAAAAAGGTTTTGAGACAAGTTTTACGATTTTAAGATAAAGAGTTTACAGCTTGTTATCTTGAATTCCGAGGTGACACACTAATTTGACTGGACTATAAAGTTATATTTTAGTTTCTTAAGCAAAAGTCTTTAGTGGTAAGAACACAAATACATCCGGCTTGGAAACTTTTTGTTGGCTAAGGGCTAATTGGAAATTCGCAACGAACTGACTCCTTAAAGAGCGTAATTCTTCGGAAAGTTTTACCCGAAGGTGGAACGGATTTATGAAGATTCAACAGGAAAAATTAATCTGTTTTCAAGTTCAGAAGGAATTCTTTGGCATGTTTAAATTGCTGTCTTTCACTCTAATATCCATATTTTCCCAAATTCTACCTACGCTTCTTCTATGCTAATATCAAGGAATAAAGGAGATATATGCATGCTACAAAAACAAAAAAAACAAGGCAATGCGTATATTATTAAACGTTAGTAAATTTATGCTAACTAAAATTTTGTTGGACCAGCTGAATTGGCTTGATGTGGAAGCTTGCATTTCTAGGGCGAATCTCATTCTAATGTTCACATTCTCATTCTAATAATATTATTTATGCACCGATTTTCGATCGAAATAAGACGATTTATATTAAGAAAAAAGTCTGAACAAAGTTCTTCGAATAATTTGTTTTGTGAAATATCATACGATGGATTTTTATCTGGATGGAAACTCGCTGTTAATTTTTTCCTATGCAAGACTTTGATGAAGCAACCGAGTTCATCGGCTTTGGGCAAGTGGTGAGTTCTTGATGAGTGTCTTGGTACGAAAATTACTAGAACTTTTTATTTGGAAGTTGGAATCAACTAACTTTTTTGAGTTATTGTACAAATGCTTGTGGAACATTTTTGGGCGTTTCGTAAAATCTCGTAGCATGCATAGTTTTTGCGCAAAAATTTTTTTTTTTGGTTTCTTGCTATGTAGTAATTTCAGAGATTCACTGCAAACGTCGTCGTAAGCGGCAATGCTCTTTTATAATAAACTAATTTGCAAGCATTTTATAATTTTTAGCTGACCGACATAGTCAAAGTCTTAAGCTCGGTCGTCTTTTGTAAGCGTTTTGGTCCTAATTACGTTCATCGGAAATCTGACGAAAAGAAGAAGCGAGTTTTATTAAAATTGACAGCAAAGGAACAAATCCACAGCAAGTTTTATTAAAATCCATTTGAACACTACGATATTACAAAATACTTAAATTAAGTTAATGAATGTCTAAAATTGTCAGTTGCAAGAGAACAGAAATATTTTTTGCGCAAAAATTATGAATGCTACTAGATTTTACTTCAATTGAAAAAAATCAATTGATTCCAGCGACCAAATAAAAATTTCTGGTAGTTTTTGTACCAAGACCTTCAAGACTTACGCACTTGTCCAAAGCGGATGAACTCGGTTGCTTCGTCAAAGTCTTGCATAAGAAAAAATTTACAGCAAATTTCATAAAAATCCATCGTATGATATTTCACAAAACAAATTATTCGAAGAGCTTTTTCAGACATTTTTTCTGAATAAAACTTAGGTCAGATCGTCATGTTTTGAGCCAAGCAAGGTCGCAGTACCCGTTTGATCATGTGCTTACGGGACATCCTGTATAACATCAGATCAAATAAAAATTTTCCCATGCCATTCGCATGGTCGGCTCTTATGGGAAAAGTTTATTTTGCAATGGGTTCGTTCTTACACTGCTTTTCCGGATTCTATTAAAAACTCTCCAAGTGTTCCAAAATTTTGTTGCACAGTTTAAAAAAGTACCTGTAGTTTGATAGAACTCACACTGCAACATCTTCATTCGTCCCCGATTTAAAGAAGAAAATGATTTGTAGTGGGAGAAACAAATCTAACAATGGTGCCATGCAGATTCCTATCATTTTGCTTTATTCAGAGCTGTTTCATGAAGCGATTTAAAGCTCCTCATTTCTGTCCACTGGCGGATGTTCCAGCTCAACTCCCATGCAGTATTATGGGAGATCTTTCGTTTCTTTATATCGTTCTCAGTCTCTCAGTTCTTCGAGGATTAAATTCTGGTCAATGGGGAACCTTCTCAACTTCTATCCTAGACCCAATTACAAGATCGTTCACAATACATCCCAAGTACTCGAACTGCTTAACCAGTTCTGTTTGCTCTCCGTTGAGTTCAAGGTGTATATTTGGCAAATTTCCCTAGAAATAACCTTAACTTTCGTTTTGTTCATGTTAAGTTTTAGTCCTGTCTGTTTGCTCGCTCTGTTTACAGCATTTAGTACAGTTTGCAAATCATTGGCTTTATCGGATTTATTGCGCACTGCATCAGCGAAAGCTCTATTCACGGAGAGATTAATAACATAAATTGGGGATGGAATGCATCAGAGTATCAAAATGTCTGTCTTTCTTTCGCACTATCCAGACTCAAGACTTGTTGTGGAGCCAACAACACAGAACTGGCAATAAAACTTGAAGTATCTGGGAATTGCCTGGAAAGTTTAGACGAAAAAGCTCACAAGCGTTCAAAACCTTTTGCAATATACTCGGATGCAATTATGTATGCTTTCCATCTGGACATTTTGAGACTCACTTAGAATCTAGCAACTTTTTTTAGCTAAATTTTTGGTAGTTTATCACAAAAACGTTTCATCGCTGCATAAACGGTTTAACAAGAAATATTTTTGCCCAAATGCTCTCGGTATTTTTATCCGGCATTCGGTGTAATAATGAAACCAACCCCTTTGTAATCATACTGAACAATTGGTTAATGTAAAAAAATGTCTGAGCTTAAAATGTTCAAAACTCCAGTTGAGGACATTAGTTTAAATACACTTGCATAGCATAACAAAAATTGCAGCAGTCGATATGGAATCCGCTTTTGAATTTAAACCGAGAACGTGATCTGAAGAACAGTATTACACATGAATGGCTCATAGAAGACCCAGTTGCCGACCTAAACTGTAGGAAGTTCTATATTGTTGAGGCGAGTACACATTTTCATAAATTAAATATTTTTCAGCGCAAAATATGTGTATTCATCTTTTTCCTACAGTTTTTTACAAACTGTTTGTTGAGTATTTCGCCTCAAAAATTTATCAATCTTTAATAAAAGACGTGAGAAATTCTGTCTTATAGACAAAAATTTTTGAGACAAAGAAATACCCAACAAACAGTTTCTAAAAAACTGTAGGAAGATGAATATTTTGCTCAGAAAAATGTTTAATTTATGAAAATGTGTCTTTCTATTTCTCGCTCTACTTTCTAATAAATTCGACAACTTTGAAGTTGAAGGAGAGACTTTGAGTCTTGAGGAACTCTGATTGATGGTCATTCCTGAAATCTAGTAATCTGGAGACATTAATAGCCTGTCCATGTGCCCCAAAGATCTGTCTGCACTATTCAAGTTGTACTGTACATATTCCCGTCAGGTCGCAACTGATTTTATTAGAAAGCCTCAGATTTTTGCCCTGATTACCCTTTTGGAGATTGTACAAGACCAAACTCGTCTAAAATCTTCCTCCTTGTTATCGATTTATACTCTCAGAAGGGGGGCAATATTGATCCCCTAAATCCATTCAACAAATATAAGAAGATAATCTGTCGAATAACATTGAACAATTTGCTTGTTTAGCCATAAGTCCCGCTTTGGACATATACGCATTCGGGATGTGCGCCTTGGAAATGGCCGCGCTGGAGATCATCGGCAACGGAGAGTCCGGCAAAAAGGTGACCGAAGAAAATGTGAAGCAGACCATCGACTTGTTGGAGGACGACAGCCAGAAGGACTTTATCGAGAAGTGTCTGCGGAGGAATCCGACCGAACGTTGGTCCGCCAGAGAGCTGCTCTTCCATCCGTTGCTGTTCGAGGTCCATTCCCTGAAACTGCTCGCCGCCCATGTGCTGGTTCGGAATTCAGGTAAATTATGTGAGTCATCATTTCTTCATCATCCTAGTTACTAGAAGTAGTATTGATGATGCTAGATTCGAATGGGATATTGTGGCTGTGTTGTGTGTGCTATCTGTCTACAATTCTTCACAATTCAATTATTGTTCGCTTATATCGAATGAAAAACACAAAAAATGAAGCGTCTTCATCTGAGATTGTCGGTTCTTGTATATACCATCAGTCATTGGTAGGTGAAACACAATTTTGGTGGACTATCGAAATTGGACTTTAAATATCCATGCTTATTTAGAAAAATTACTCTTGGCTTCTGGAAATGTATGGAATAATGAATGGTTCACCTTTTTTCTTTATGATTTTTGCGATTTGGCTGTGCACGAAACATTTTGACACAAACTGATTATAAGAATAATACGCTACTTAAATGTTGTTTTTTTAAATTAATTATATTGTTAAAATATTCGAATTTGACACTGGTAACGTTTTTCGAGCTGTTAAGCCGCCGTGTGAAATAATTCCTTAATGACTCGGCAAGCAAACCACTTCTGAAGATGCGAGCCACTCGTGCTTGCGAAACGTCAGGAGGAAACTATTTACCAGAAGAAACTACTTTTGCTATTTACCTTTCTAATAAAGGCATTTGATGTTTGAATAATGTAAAATATAGTCAAGTTGGATAACGAATCAACTGAATAAATTATACAACACGCAGATTTACTGCGACTTTGGGTTTGAGTCAATTAAACTTTTAAATAAAACAGAAAAAGAGAAAAAACGTGTAGTTACAGAAATTCTATTTGTTTATGAACAAAGTTTCGCCAGATTTCTGGTCTAATTCTTGTGTGCACAAAACATCTTAAAATGTGCCATTCAATTTCACTTCAGTTTTGTAATACTAAACGATTATAACAATAATTTAAAAGTGTTTTTCAATAAGTAGTACAAAGCCGGATAAAAAACGTTTATTTGACCATTCATAAACTCCTGTAATTCGATTATTCTGCAGGATGTCCCAAGTTTGTTAACATCAATCAACAACCGAAAGTCACTTTCAACTCAAAAGATCTTTAAGATGGTCATAATTTCGCAAAGCAGAACTGGTCGAAATTTTCGAATGTGATTTTCAACTAATTTTTGTAACAAAATGTTTTTATTTTAAATTTATCGGTTGGATTGCAGGCAAATATTCAACCATTCAACTATTAAAGTGTTGGACAGTAGCTCTTTTTCACAGTGTTAAGTGCAATAAAGGCAGTGTGCAAAAGAGGTTTCAATAGTCTTCCATTGATCATTTGGGCCAGTTTTCACGCATTTGATTGGACGTTTGAACAATTTGTTAAAAACTGAATGGCGAATTCGCCACAAAAAACACCACAGTCTGTTATTACGTTGAGCGCTGTTTGCTCGTAAGATCATTTCGAACGAATGCCAACCAGGTGGAGCTGGAAGTATTGATTCTGAATGGTTTTTCCTATACTTTGCGTGTTTTTTTTTACTTAAGTGTTACAATTGAAGTCCTCCAGACGCCCGAGTACCAGATGTTTGTCATTTTTTTTGGTTTTTAATTAAATAAAACGGATGTATTTTCTGATACGGAATATGTTCAAAACCGATTTTTTCGGACAATTCGCAAAAAACCTACCAAACTGAACCAAACGCTTGTTTTTCAACTGTATCAATATTGGCCTGATTAGAGGGATTAAGGTATAATAGAACTTCGGATTTTGTTGCCCCAGAAGATTAATTGTGTCGGTGATGAAAAAGGCACGCACTTAATGAGATTAATCGTTTTATAGAGATGCTTCAGGGCAAATTTTGAATTTAATGTATTTAAGAAATTGTGTGGTGTTTTTTTTTTGGTTCAACTATTGGACGCTTAGCAAAAATTTAACATCTAAGGGCTGCCAAAATTGAGTGCTTTGAGTGAAAATTAAATTAGTAATCAATATAAACAGCAATTGAAATGAAACTAAATGAGCAAAATGAAAGGAAATTGCAGAAGTGTTTTCAGAGACCATAAATACTTCGAAGTGTCCCCTCTCTAAACGAGATAAGAAATGAACTTTTGATTAATGTAATTAAGCCAAACTTAAAGTACCAAGCTGTCTGCCATAAATTGTTATCATTTGCGAATAAACTGCGTCATTAGTGCTATTAATTATTATTAGACAGTGGCGGCGCATAGCAACTTAAATTAATTTTTTTACTCGGCCAAACTTGCTGGAGAAATAGCCGACTGAGCCACCACTGACTTGAGTTTAACGAAGCTATTAGCAAGCAAACAACATGTTTTTCGTGAAACTCGAATTTTGCCGGTTCTTTGCTGATAAATGACTTTTTGTCTTTGTTTTATTCACATACATAATCCGAATTTTTTTATTATCTCAGTAAACACTGATAAAAACTGTTTGCGGTTAGTACGCCACACAGTTTTAAGCCATAGTTATTTATAGTGGTGATGCCAATTACTGTTTATTTATTTACAAAAAAACGCCTTATTTGGTAATTGCAAATATTGAGTTAATTAACTTGATATCATTGAGTTTCGAAAGAATGTTGACAGTTTGCACAGGTTTTTTCATGAACAAGGATATGCGAGATGCAACGATCATTTATAATAACATTAATACACAATTTCGAGTGGTTTGTAAACACATTATGACAATGTTTTTGTTTTTTGCAAACATTTAAGAAACAAACTGTTTTAAATTGTATTGAATATTTGAAGTAAGGAAATATGTTTTCTTTTTCTCTAAATTAGTTGTCGCTTAAGCCGCGAAAAAAATTATTTAATTTGAATTTTCGGACGGTTGCTATTCTGCAGAAAGCAGTAAATTTTTCCTTATTTCAAAAAGTATTTGTTTAAGTGTCGAAAAAAATGATTCGGGTTTGATGCAAATAAGTTGGCAAAGGTTTAAGCTGAAAGTACCTTCAGGAAATTTTCCACATGCCTGAGGCAATTTAACATAATAAATTTCTATGAAAAACGAAACAATAACGTGTTTCCTCATTTAATCCAGACTGTACGGTAAAAACGCACGTAAATAGTTCTATTTTTTGAAAGAAACAAACGCCGACGTGCTGTGCAGTATCATTCATCATTTCATGAACTTTCAATTGGAACATTTTGTAAATTATAGGCTTATTTTTCTGTTCCCGATTAAAATTTGTTGGGATTAAAGTAATTTTCTTTATCCCCCTGATTAAAATTCTAACAAAATAGCTCCACTCTGGGTGGTGTAAACGTTTTGTAATTTTATTTTAACTTGTTAGAATGTGTTATTTGTGTTCAGTTTTTGCGTTAAATTTTTTGGTATATTGGCCCCCGATTGCTGGGTTCTTCGTTCCATTTTAAAATGTTTTCACTTGAAAAGTGTACTTTCCAGGAGGAATTTTTGCTCTATTTGAGCCTGTTCGCAATTAAAACGTTTTTGAGTCTGAAAGGCCAGAAAACGTTAGTCAAACTTGTTGTCGGTTAACAAAAACTTTACGAACACTCAAAAGATCTTGAGCAATATTGAAAAATTGAATAACATCTTCCAGTATCAAAACACTTATTTCTTTCATCAATTTCCATAAAGTTGTTTACTTGAAAACATTTGTCCTGCAGACTGCGTGGATTTCATCTTGGAAAAACCCCGCTTGTTGATAATGAATCTGAAGTGTTTGAATTAATAATTAGATTCGAGTTTGGAGTGTTTTTATGTGTGACTTGAGTGGCGTACACGAAACAATTGTGGAAAAAAGCGTGCATAGTTAAGGAAAGGAGAATGAAAAGCGCAGTTTACGTATTCAAGAGATTACTTGAGAAATAATGTAAAGCTGTAATTTTGCTGCTACCAATCGAGGAATTAAATTTAAATGAAATTATATCAATACTGCAAAGGCTTTTTGTGAAAAAGTGGGCGATTTTGTTTTCTGACCAATCTCGGAAAATTGTACGCGGAATATTCCGAAAGTTATTAAGATTTATTGGATGCATCCATTCTGGTGCCAGGCACTTCTAATATAAATTCCGAAAATCTCCTTCCGGCCAATAAGTCGACTAGTTGAAATATCTAATGCATGGGTTAGCTGTAAAAAGACGAAACTGCCGCTTTTCTGATTATTCAAAGGTGTAGCTAAATAAAGCTCATTTGCCTTAAAAACTCGATTTTGACTAATTTCCAAAGCTCTCCGTATTTTTCTGTTTCAAAAAGCGTTAAATTGGCGTAGCAACAGCTCAAAGGTAGGATAATTTGCAAATTCCTAGAAGCAAAGTGAATTGAGTTTTTGGCACGCAGTACCTATAATGAAGCTTAATTTCGTAATTTTTTTTCAGCAAACATATCCGAAACCATAACGGACGAACTCATGCAACGATGGTATGGACCGGAAGTGATAGTTGCCGAGATCCAAAGGAGGAACAGCGAGCATGTCCAGATGAAGATGACCGACGTGCCCGTTAATGAAAAACTGGAAAAATTCGTTGAAGATGTCAAGTAAGTGTGTTTTTTGCATATCAGGCGGCCAGTTGATTGAGCTGAATTAAAAATCTACTAGATTTATTCAATTGTTACCGCACACTACAGGTACCGCCCTAATGCTGGCGTCACTTGAATTATACCATGTTTTCGTCGTTTGTATCCCCAGCTATAAATTAATCTAATTTGCGGTCGATTCGAATTTTGGCAAGCGTGAGCGCACTAATTTATACGGTTTTCGCGTGGATTAAAGGTGCGATGTTTTAAGAATTTTGGCAAATATTTGAAGAATTAAGCGTGCTGATAAGGTTTCCTGCGCGTATTGGGGCAATAACTCGAAATCCGAAAAGTCAATGGGGCTCAAATGTGGTAATCCAGCGGGCAACCTTGAGCCCCGCCAGACAGCGGTTCAACAGGGGGTTTCTTCACAAAATGGAACTTTAACTGGGACATCAGTGTTGGAGAATGTCGATGATCAGGTGTAACATTGTCCTAGTTTTTTATTTTTAAATCCATTAGAGAAAAATAGATGTGAACGCGTCTTGGTAGATGGAGTTGTGTAATAGGAGAAGGTCCTTCACCCCCCAAGTGGAATCGCAATTGCTAAAAAAGCACTAGATGTAAACAGTATCACGTAGACGATTTGGCATTACATTGAAATGGGTCGTTGATTCAGGTCAACATCTGATTGACATCGAACTTTTAACTATTTTTGCGGTTCTCTATTTGCAATATACAGGGGCTGTTGAAGCCAAATCCAAAGCCTAGCAAATAGAGTGAGCCAATAAGCTTTCAACAAAGCGGTGCAAAGCAACAGTTCTTGACCAATCCGATTGCCAGGTCAATGCGATTATCATGCTTTGCAATGCTTTTTAATCAGCTGCTAACATTCTGATTCACGTGTTGGAAATAAACGATGAATTATGTTTGTTGGCTTGTTGTTGTTTTTAAATCTTCTTTTTGGTCCCGAGTTGTTTTTTATTGGCCTTTACGTGGTGGCACGGAAGTGTTAATGTCGCCCATTTCCTTTTAATAACATGCCATTAACCAGGAATTATGTTTTCTTTTGATCACGTAACTTTTGCATTCTTGTTTTAATCCTAGATACTAGTTATGTACAGAACTATCTGTTTTTATTTATAAAACGCATATTGGGATCAGTCTGGGTTACGTTTTTGAACAAAAAGTTGGGTTTTGTTTGTTTGATTGCATCCAGAGCGAGTGTTTGCCTCCAATCTGATCACAGTTTTATCGTTCCATGGTGTAATTGTAATGCCATTATAGAGGTTAAATCCGAGGCGATTTCAAGGAAGTAAACATGGCAATAAAACGATAAATCTGAGGACTAAAGAGGTACCAAGCCAGTCAAGCTACTCGTGATCGTTACTGATAACCCACTAACTCGACATTGTTGAGCAAATATTGCATTAGAGACTGCTTAATTTTCAAAATGCTTTAAAGTAAAAAGCCATGCACAGCAAGTTCCTCAAAAAAACACAATTTAATTTACTAAAGTTGCTCTTGATTTTCGTAGTTTGTTCCAATTTCAGTCCAAATTCAATTCAATGACTTACAGAGTTTAATCGTTAATAAAAGAGAGCAACATTGATATTAGATGATTGTCAATTCAATGCTGTTTATTGCTACGCGATGAATTACGTAAAAATTCGCGTGCGACCTTTACCATTGAAAAGCGAAGGCCTCGATCTTATCTGGTTTTTCTTTGTTATTTGGTGATGTTGGGTTAAATAACAATGTTTCTAAAAAGTTAGTCAATACCTACTTTTAAAGGGTTTGGAGATTAAAATATTAAGGTTGAAAAACATTGTTGTTTCCAGTTTTAATGAATGTTATCGACCTGGCTGGAAATTGGTGAGTTTCAGGATTGTATGGCCTTTTTTGGGAAAAAGCGCATTTTCGGAGGCGTTTGGTTCGATAGGTTTGAGCCGGGCCCGTGTGAAGATTTCCGACGGCCTAAAATCCCGAAAAACCCCCAGTTTTTATTAAGGTTCTTTGACGAATATTAGAAAGTAAGTGTTGCCGCTGAAATTACCTATTCAAATTCAAACAGCTTTTTTTCCAAATGACTCAATTTCCTAGTCTAAATAATACATTGTATAACTTTGATTGGATTTGATTTATGCGGTTGAAATTTATAGTTTGTTGCTATAGCCAGTGTAGATAAGAGCGTCTTGCTATATACAGGGTGTCCGACTTTTAGTGCGTCTTTAATGGCCTATTCCACGGTCAAAATAGGTCTTTTGTTCCCATTCGTAATGTAATGCAAAACTCGTGTTTTTAAGGAATATTTTCCAAAGATGTTTAAACAGTAGCTTAACATTTGGCGGACGAGAGTGTTTGAAAACAGTTAAATTTTATACACTAAATACAGTCTGATCGGGTATGTTGCATTCAATTGTTGCATCCACATTTTGAATGATTTCGTTTGTTCCCGCATCAAATTTGAGCAGAAAATGTATACTTGATCAAAAATTCTTAGACCACAACAGTTTTGGAGATCTTGACTATGAAAAAATTGGGAAAACTTTATTCTTCCAAAATATGAGTCTATTAAACGTTTGACTGTGAATAATAGGTAGAACTAGTTTTAGTTGCTGAATGGGAACACGTGATTCATTGCAAAATTAAACTAAAAATAACTAACTTGAACGCGTTGTAATCGAAAATTGTGAATTTGTGAACGCAAGTTTATGCAAGATGAAGGTAAATTAGGTTGTGGAAAAGGCAGTAAAATTATTTTTACACTTTGAATAAAATTATTTTTTAAACAGTTTTAGGAGAAAGTTTTAGGGCATGTTGAATTCAATTGGTTCTAACTTTTTTTGTCACTGTGTATATCCACATTTTGAATGATTGCGTTTGATCCCGCGTCAAATTTGAGCAGAAAATGTATACTTGATCAAAACTTCCTGATTCTTGATTAAGAATAGGTAGAACTACTTTGAGCTGCTGATCAGAAGAAAGTGATTCATTGCAAAATTAAACTAAAAATAACTAACTTGAACGCGTTGTATATGGAAAATCATGCATTTGTAGACGCATGTTTATATATTTAAGGGCGGTTAAGCTATTGCATACCCTGCACCGAATTACCGAATTGCGAATTAATTTGGAAGCATGTATTTCATAAAAAAAACTTGTTTAAATAGATTAAATTCTGCCTATATCATTAGAAGAGAGAGAGCCTTAATTTAATTACTATAATCCCCATAATCTAGTATTAAGTTAAATTAGTAGTCTAATCGCAGTGTGTGTTCCGTACAAAGAGCATTATTTTTCATAGAACTCTGATGTCGATTGCTGCAGGGAAATGTATCATTATAGGTTTATGATTTTGGGTTATCAAATTCACTTTCTACATCGTTATTTCGATCGTCAAGCAATCAGTTGGTGTAAAAAATGTCGTAATAATTAGGAGCTGGGAGAAAAATGTCATCAAATTCTCAATTTTTATCAAAGTCAAAATACGTTTTACCCTAGGTTCAAATTGCCTCACGCTTTTGCCAAAAACTTGCCTATTATTGGATGTTTCTGGGAAAGTTACAGGCAGATCAGGACAGAAAGGTTGGTTTCCGCAAAAAAATTGAAACGTTAACTTTGCGGAAACAATTTGGAGTTTTGTTTAAATTTTTTTCTCGGGGTGTTAAGATGAGCAAAAAGCGTGAAAAAGTAGGTTAGTTTGTTGCCTTCTTGCCTGCTTACTTTGTAAGTTCTCCAGCCGCAACTTCAACTTCAAACAGCGTTGAATGTATTTGTCATATTCGCTTTTTGTTTATTTTTCAAATTGATTAAAATCGGACGTTGACAATGCTGTTAGAATTAGTTCCATTAGATCCTGCACTTTTTCCAAAATATTTTTTCTTAAATTTATTGTTTTTTTGGAAGCTGATGATTTTTTTCTACTTTTGGGACGTCGTGGAAAAAAACTCTTACAAGAAAGGAAAGATTCTTTTCAACGTTGACCCAAAGAAACCCGAAAACTCACTAGAAATTTGCTTGAAAAAGCAATTACTACGAAAAATTAACTTCACTTTCTTTGTATCTAGTTTTTTTGAACGAGATTTCTGAAGAACTTCGAAGCCTGCTATCGACTTTTGGGCTTCACTCTCAGCAGCTTGAATAGTTGATAGTTGGTGTTCTGTGGTTGTAAAGGTGCTTGAAATTTAGGTCACTCAGTCAGGGGCTGAGAAGAAGCTGTAGAAGTGTAGTAAGCCTAGATGGGGGAAGGGTTCTGATCGCAGGCTGACTTGTGCCTGAACAATCCACTAAATGTTCAATTAGACAAATACTTTTCGATCGAACAGTATATTTCCACATGCCAGATAAGATAAAACGCTTACGACGGTCGCGCTCCATAAATACAATGAGCCGGCTTATCAACTATTTCAGTCGAAGCCGGGCAGTCTAGCGCAAATTGTTCCTCGTCATAATTCGCACTTTTTTCTCCCAAAAACTATCAACAACCCAAAAAAAATTGTTCGTGCGTGCAAAACCCACGGGAGCCGTTTAAAAATACCTTTTTGTTTGGTGTTATTTTTAAATTCCTGCCGGTGGCAGTAGAGGAGAAGAGAGTGAGTGCCTACTACTCGTGTTATTTAGGAGTTATTTTTTTGGTGACTCGTCCAGATGATTGCCACCGACAATCAGATGTCCACTTTGGGTCTTCACCTAAAACTATTGGCCATGTAGGTTCAATTTTTTATTTATTTATAATTAGGCAGCATTAGTGCTTAATTGTAGTGAGTAGTGCGTGGGAATATGCCCGAATTGCGGTCTGGCAGTTCAGTATTTTTCTTGGCAGTCCGCAGAACCGTCCCAATCGGTGTCCAGTGTGGAAGCATGTTTTTTGCGATCTGTATTTTCATCAGATCCACCTTCATAACTGTGTTTTATTCGGAGAAAATGCAAAGGTTAAGGTAACAAAGGATATTTTCGCGTATAGCTACCGGATGCATTCCTGTTCAATGACGCTCGATGCAGATTTGTGTCACAACTTG